TCATTCTTGTTAGAATTAGGATTTTCACTGGTCTTAGACCTTCTGGGTTGACGGCATTCTCTCGATGAATGACCCAAATTATTACAATTGTAACACCTGAAAGGTGTTTTCCCCGTACGACTTGATGAGGATGCTGATGCTCCACTAGATCCACTAGCATTAACATTAACGGCAGCATGCTTACGGTCATCTCCTCGTTTCTCATTCTTATCCTTGTTGGATTCCTTACGCTCAGAGCGTTTTCTCAACTCAATATTATACTCGTTGACCAATGCGGCAGTTAGATCTTGAATGTCGTGAACTGATTTGGACCTAAATAATGAGTCTTTGACTTCTGCTGGCAATCTTATCAGTACATCTTGTATGAACTCTTGAGGTGAGGGTTCACCTTTGACTTTAATTACCATCGTTTCCAACTTTCTAATAAATTCAGCAGGGTGTGAATCAAAATTCCACTTACATTGATGAAACTCAGATGTAGCTTGTGAGATTACCGCTGGATTTCTCAGCTTATCTTCCAATGCAGCAATGTATGACTCGCTGGTGTGCTTCTCTTTATCTAAAATTTTAGCATAGGGCAAGAAATCATACGCCATAGCTTTCTGCAAAACATACAACTTATCGTCATCATGACAGCGTTCCAAAGATAGAATCCTTTTAATTGTCTGTAACCATTGCCAAGGATCCATAGCGTCTTGAGTGTAGACAGGAAGCTTAGGTAGCTTTGGTTTGCATTTTGCAAAAGTTTTAGGTTCAGCCTTAGCTTTCTCCTCAACTTTTTCTGTTCTAGGAACTGTTGTTTGAATTGTTTGATTAACTGGTAAAACTGGTGAAACTACGGTTTCATCTAAAGCACGAGGTTCATCATCACTATCTGCATCTTCAGGATGTTCATTTTCATTGGCATCTTCAATCTGTTGTCGAGTTACAGTTGCGTTATTGCCTAAGGCATGAGGACTTTGAGAATGTTGAGAGTTATCAGGCAAAGTTCTGTTCAGGATGTCTTGTACATCAATACCAGGGTTGATAACTTGGCGGGTAACAATTAATTCAGCAGGCTTAGCCCATTTCTTAACCATAGATTCGAGTAATCTTTTCGCAGGAGATGCTATCGGCAATTTTCTAATTGAGACGTCACTAGTCAGCATCATCGTTGTAGGTTCGAAACCCATTTTCTTGATTATCTCTCGAATATCGTTTTCAGTTACGCCTTGAGCTCTCAATTCTTTTATCCAGTCAGGAAAACTTGTCTTTCTCGTTAGAGCGTTAAAACATGTCTCACCAACCATTTCATCGGTTGCATCAAATACACTTTCGAGGGCAAACATAGTTTGTATTGAATCGTAGAACTTCTCTTTCACAATTTCATCGTTGTCAATGAATCGCACGTTCCAATTCTTTAGATAAAGTTTCATTTCAATAACGTCCATATTTTTGATAAAATATTTCGGTGTTGGCATAGTTTGAGTTTGTGTTGTTGATGTCTTAGACGTATTAGCACTTTTATCACTTGGATCATTCTGATCATTCTGTTCATCGTTGGTTTTATCACTTTCAGTTACCATAAAACAATAGTCAATTTCATAACAGGAATTCAATGGCAATCCTGCCAAGGTCGCCATTTGAAAGGAAGAGTTCATAGTTTAAAACTAATTCACCAAATTAAATAAATTCACTTCAATTGCGTACAAATCAAACACAATTTATTAACTCAGAAGATTATTCAAGCCTTTCAAATCCTGAATACTCAGGTTCTTTTAGAAGATCACCAAAGTTCAACTGAAATGAGTCTTAGACTATTGAAGATTAGCTTTTTCTAGCCAAGATTAGTGACCACAAATTCAACCAAAGAATGTTGTTAGTCAAGTCTTAGACGGATTAACTGGACAGGTAGATAGCGTACTAAGCTACTAGGCACGAGTCATAAAGCTAGAAGTAAAGGTGAAGTTTCCAACCAAAATAAACTTAAAGTGGAACAGCAAAGTTCAGACAGCAATATAAGAAGTATTAGGACCAACTCGAAAGCTTTTAGCTCTATCAGCATCAGACTTAGTCTACAATTGTTGAACCTTTTCTTAACCAAATTCAGATAAGGGCACTTTACAGCAAGTATGGAAAACTGTGTTTTCACGATCACTTGAGATACTAATTAGTCTTAGACTTAGAAACTTAGATTTTAGAATACAAAAAAAAGGAAAACTTTAATTAAACAGAAATTTAGGATGTTTTAGCATTTAAATGTGTTTCACTTGCATCAGTTTGAAACTTATTGACAATATTGACTGTATTGACTGTTGAAATTTAAACATAAAATGAACATTTTTTGAAGACCATTAATTAATGGAAAACGGTTGGTATTTATACCAAAAATATCGGAAGGAAATTAATATTCCTTAAAGGAAAAGGAAAAGAAAATTAATCAATTGCGACAAAGTCGAAAGGTTATCAGACAGTGTCTTAGACAGTAATTAGAAAGAATAAAGAAAATGAAGAAAGGCAAAAAGACTTAGTCTTGTGATTACCAATTTGGTGAGAAAACAAAAAATGAAATTGTGTGCAATACACTAGGGATTATAATCAAGTTTTAAACTTTTAACTCTGAATAATCAACCTTATGACAAAAGATTAAATGATTTAATTTGGTTTTGGGTAACTCTACCCTTCACATTACTAACTCATGATTATCAAATTATGATGGAAACATGAATTTTAAACATTTCATTGTTCCTCACGTTCATGGAATGAAACAATAAAGGAAACCAGTGAACCCAAAATGAACCAAATTATTCAGAAATGGCAACAATTTGAAAGAAGAAAAAGAATGTAAAAAATGAGATTAATGACAATAGTTGTTAAAATCAAATCAAGGTTAGAATCGAGTTATCACTTGATTTTGATAAAGATTGATTCAAATGGCAAGATTTATCAAATGTGAGAAAAGAAGAACTCCAAGAAGGCGGAAAATGCTGGGAATTGAGACGATAAATGTTGATACTTATCGAGTGTAATAGGCTTTGATGGATTGTTTTTGTTCCCAAGACTGAATC